GTACATGCACTCTTGCATATTTCAACGTACATGTCAAAATTGTATCTTAGTTGAGAAATGAGTATCTTGGCAGAAATTTTAGTTTCTCAATTGAAATATTCTCAAATGAGATACTTGATTAAAATATCTATTGTATCTCAGTTGAGATGTTAAGTTATAAACTCAATAGCGCTGATTTTTAGTACTTTTTTTATACAGCTAAGATTTTTATTTTTAGAAAACCTTTCCAAGAGTTAAATGGGCTCAACTTATTTCGGTTTTATAAAACTAAGATATTTACGCTTATTTGTTTGAAAGAAACATCTTAAACAGTTTGTTACATCAAGTATTTATCATTAAAAACCGTTTCGTCGAACTTTTAAGCCTCGAAATACCAATAAAAGTATTCGTAACATCTCGAACATATATTTATTATATGCACCATTGTTGATGATCAATTTCTTCCTAGATTCTCATTTTCAGCTAAGATTACGTTTTGTTTCTAAAACTTCAGAAGTTCGAATAGAAACATCTTCGAGAATCCGTTGAATCGAAAGGAAATGAGTTTTGGAGGTCAAGCAGTAGTATCAATTAAAACCGATATGTAATTTTTTTTATACCGTAACTCAGATGAGTAAAACAAAAGCATCAAACATGATCTTATCTTGTGTTTGAAAAAACTGCATAGATTTACGGAATAACTTCTCTAAATATTTAATATGATATACAATAGCATCAGATAATCGGTTTCACTTTTTTTTATCATTCTTACTAAGTAGAAACTAGTATATGAATTTGTATTGCGAAAAGGAAGTTGAAAATTATTTGAACGCTTCGAGAAATATTTTAATCTAAGAGATTTTTGTTTTTGCAATTAACTTTCTAACTGAGTACGTCTGATTAAGGTGTGTGATAATAATATGTAGTCACTGTAGATGATTTAAATAGCTAATCATTGCGTATAGAATTCAATGGTTGAAGATGGAATTCACAAGTGTTATGTCATAGGCATCTTAATGAAAAGTATGTGCTACAAAAGAGTGGAAGTTTCATCTCGCTCGTTATGTGAACATATGAGCTATAAACTTACTAAAATAATACGTCAGAGTGGTTAGAATCCCTCTTATCCCGTATTATGACTTACAATATCGTGCATGTATTTCTAAAAAAAAGATTTTTTTCTGATTTTGAACATGTTTTGGCTAACTATCGCTATATGTGTGTGTACAATTTAAATATTTGACAAAATTAATTAGACACAAGCTCATTGAAGTATAACAAATAGATCAACGCTGTGGAACCAGCACATCCCTTTCAATATGAAAGCAGTGCGCTTCACTGTGCAGTCTGTCTGGTTCTCACTGAATGTTTAACCTTCATGTATCGCCACGTCTATGACTCCTTGATAAGACCTTAATTGGATGCACCGTGATCTAAGAATAGAATATGAAAAGTGTCACCTGTCCTTCTGATCAGACCACACACAACACCTTTATCATGGTCACAAAATTAGCATTAAGTCAATGAAACTGCTATAGTTGACAATAGAAAGAATGCAATTATTAGTAAAATATTCAATATCGACCACTGCCTGTGTTCACAAATAGGCATAAAAATTGATTACAAAAAACCAGTGACATTGTACAGTATCGTAGTAGAGGGTACCTATTATCTAATAATTGCCATTGAAAAATGATATCTCTACATTATGACAATGTATATTTTGCAATGAAAAAAAATCATCATTGAACATTACGATAGGCCGGCTAAAGTTTCACGAACAGCATCTGAAACTATAACGAAGTAAATTATTTCCAATAAATTGCAAATAATGCTTCACTGATAAATGTATTATCAAGATTGTATCTTTAACTTTTCAAAAGATATATTTCATAAACGAATACTAAGTCTGCAAAATCCAGAATAATCAAAAAGGTGAATCATTTGTTACACATTAACCTTAAAACAGTTTAAATTTCCTTGCCTTTTAGAGCAAACTTCTCACAGGTTTTTGTTGAAAAAAGCATACACACTTGCTCTATGAAGAATAAATTATTATTTCTTATGTTTTGTTTTAGGTTAGTCAATAGTAGTTTAAACATTCAAAGGTGAAAATGCTATATACAACAGTCCTATTTATGCATATAAGTCACCAGATAGTACTAGAAAATCTGATAATGAACTAAGTGGTAGTTTCAAGAGAAAGTCATATTTAGTAAGTTACAACCAAATGTTGAGCCTTCAGGAAGCTCTCTTTTTTGTTCTTTTAACAGAAAAATTTACGACATTTATCCACCTTTACCATCCCCATGGGTACTCCCAAATTTAAAACCTCATTTGATTGTCGCAGTTAGTAACAGTAACCATCAGCAAAAGCCTATAGTTGTATCTAAAAAATCCATAGTAAATCACTTATTCTATTTAGATGAATTACAATCCATCCTTCAAGTTGTAGTTAGGACCTATGCGGCCTATTTAGTTGATTATAAAAGGAAATAGGTCGAACAACAACAGCTTCCTGCATCACACTTATTCTTTTCCCTTCTATAGAATCTATTCAAACAAAAACTATCGAGAAGTATTAAAGATATCCGCAATGGGCACGTTACCAGAATGAAAAAACGCTCGAAAAAACTAAATTGGGACGATAATCGATACACAAATGAAGATAACGACGGTACAGACTCTGGTAATGATCAAAACAATTCTGACGATTTATCTTCTATCGGTTCGTACACACCTATTTTTTCCGTATAACTCATATTTTCTTGGGAACTCTTTTATCTCCATTTAGGTAATAATTCCACAGTACAAAGTTATGTGAAGAAATTGAGCAAATATCCTGATAATAATGAAATGAAATTGGGGAAAGTAACACAACTGATTGTTGAGTCATTTCGTCTGCGAAGTGGATATTTGAACCAATTAAGTCAAACAATGAAGAATGTTCTAAAAGAGATGCCATTTACAAAAGACATCAATTTCGTATATAAATCAATCAACAGGACTGGATTTCTCTTATTTTACAAAGCCACTGTTCATCAGCGATTAGCACATACAACTTTATTGTCTTCTTTTTCCTCGTGATAATTGATCAGAGTCGAATTCGAACTGGTTTGCAGGAAATTGTTGAAAAATGCTGCAGTCAATTTAGAAAATTTTTTCACAACAGCAACTAAAAACGATGTTTATGATTGTTATGTTATATACAAATGTGAGAAAAATGCATCCACTTTCTACTATTTCAAATCTAATTACTTTTCTCGATGCTGTGCTTTTTTTCTCTCAGATATATAAACAACTTTTGGAAAGAATGGAGGCATGATTCGGACCAAGATATAAAAATGTTATAACAACCAAAGAAGTATGACTTAAATCTTGTTTACGTTTACTTGTTTAACACTATTTTAACCTTTGTGAAGATTATAATCCTCATGTGTTTATTTAACAGAAAAAGATAACTACTCAATTCTCCTCAACACATAAAAATATAGTCATATATATATGTAACAATAATAGAGAGAGGAATGTAAAACTACGTGAGGAAATGATACAATAAATGGTACGACAGAAGTGGTGTGATGAAGAAAGAATGTATGATCAAGAGATGAAGGATGTGAACGTGAATAACGTGATGAAAACGTGAGAAGGTTTTTTCTACCTAACACACCTCCTCCGCCACTAGATGAAGCGTCCCGCTCATTAAAAAAGAAAAATTTTTTTTTTTAAGATTGAACAAAAATACACAAAATACTGTTTATGTGTAATTAGCCCAATGGACAGTATCGGGAACAATCTGCCACCTAGTTCTTCAATGATATTGTCAACATTGTTTTATCATCGTTGCCTGCCTGGAGTCTTATAATATTGGTAAAATGACATGTTTGTGAACTTGTTGTATCATTATAATCAGGTCCATTTCCATTTCTTTGGCTTTTAATGTCATTTCAGATTTTTCCAGTTGGGCTGTTTCGTATTCAACTCATTTTGCATTTGCTGTGTTTCTAGTAGGTATTTCAATTGCAAATGTTCGATGTCCATATGTTTGTCTACGGAGATCATCACTGGCGGAGATTCATTCATATCTTGTGAACCTGATGCTAATGTTTGTGGTTGTTGACTGTTCATCTGTACTACATGATCGTTGGATGCTGCCATTTTGGCTGGTCAGGATTCTTCTAATGGGCGTTTAATGTCATATGACGCTGTCTGAGTGGCCAACATTACGGCTGCTTGTTCGATTTGGCTGGATGTTCCAAATGCCTCAATGAATGCCATTTGTCCTTATTTCCAGTTTTAATGTATCAATATTGTCTTCTCCAAATGATACCATGATTTTGTTCCACTAACTAGTTTTAATGGAAGCCTTTGTATGATACCTTTGTAGATCATAATAACCACGATAAATGTTATTAAATATTGATGTTGCAATTTTCCAATTTTAAATATCTGTACTGACAAAATCGATCAGAAGCTGCCACCATCTGACCATATGAGTTTGTCCAACCAATTTGCTGTTGGTACTTGTCTGTGGTTAATTATGATGTTGGAACACAAAAGGAATACCGCATCCATGTGGATAACCGAGAACCATATGATAGTTTGGAATCCGGATGTTGTTGTTTATTATGGAACCATATACGGCCAAAGACAGTTCCAATGATTCAATAATTTAATTTTATTATCGCCTAATAAACCAGCAATAAATCGATCTTCATGTTCGAATGCAAGGTTAATACCCGTACTAAATAACACTAATTCAAGACCAAGAGAATCATAACTGCCATCCGTTGATGTTTTTTTTGACTTATTATTGCGACACCAAACATAACCAGCATTAATAATAATAATGTCCAACGCAATACTTGTTGCATTTTCGTTTTAACATGTTGTTGTTCAATGAGTTGTTTACCAATAGTTCCTAATTTTGTCATTAAGGATAGAGTATGATATGCCACTGCTCGATCTGATGGTTCGGACGTTGTTTCTAATTGGATAACGAATGATGATGGTTGTTGCAGATGTTCTAATCTTAATTGAATTAATTCAAGATGATGTTTCAGTTCTAAATTCTCTAACTGTACACGATGTTGTGGCTGGTCAGAGAGTACTTGTTGTCTCAGACCATGTATCTCTTGTTATCGGTTCCGTTTGTGGTTGTGTAATATCTTTCGATGTTTGATCATGATTAGATTCTGATTTTGTGGATGCTGTTTTCAAAAAATTTGGACGTTGTTGTTTCATTTCGTGTGTATACCATTCTACATCACCGGAAGGCCACATCGATTGCTGGTCGTTTTCGAGTGTTGATGATAATAATTCATGATTCACGAATGAATGATGTCGATGGATATTCGTCATACGATGTTTGAAAATGTTGTGGATGAAAGTGATATTGTTGTTGTTTTGTGTGGAGAACGTTGATTTCTTTTTTATTACCATATCATTTATCGTTAAAATTCTTTTATTTTCGTAGGCTTTTTCATTCTGAAACCATTCATATAAAAATTGAGTTGCTGTTGTACGTAATTATTCGCTGGGATCCCCATTGTTGTTGTTAATCCGGATTCGTGTCGTATGTGATGTTGAATTGACAAACGATTGGTTAGTGCACCAATGTGAAGATGATAATCCTCATGTGTTTATTTAACAGAAAAAGATAACTACTCAATTCTCCTCAACACATAAAAATATAGTCATATATATATGTAACAATAATAGAGAGAGGAATGTAAAACTACGTGAGGAAATGATACAATAAATGGTACGACAGAAGTGGTGTGATGAAGAAAGAATGTATGACCAAGAGATGAAGGATGTGAACGTGAACAACGTGATGAAAACGTAAGGAGGTTTTTTTCTACCTAACACCTTCAAAGACGATACTGTGTACCCTGTGACTCATTTTAGGTTGATAATGATGGCACGAATATGGATTTACAATTATTGATAAAAAAGTACGATCTATGTCCGTTATTATACAAAGTCGTCTATCCTCGACGTAGTTACTTTTATCTGACTTTTATCTGACGAAGTGACGAAGTATTAATCGATTTTGATGAAGAAAAGGATGATATTTCGCTTATATTATCGATACTGATATCCGTATTTTATGTTTCTGACGTAACATATCCAACAGTTTACAAACCGTTGTTGGAAGTCTTGGAGTTTTTTATCTACGACAGGAACAATCATCCATCACGTGCAGAATTGACTGTACCGGCACAAAACTTTATTATCGAACATAATCGAAAGACGCGATCATCATACATAATTAGTCGCTCCGTTAAAACATCGTACAAATTTCTTGCTGCTATTGATACAAATTAAAACAGCATATCATTGGACACAACTGAACTCTCACGATGTTTTATCGTACAGTACAACTTTGTTTACATTTTTTTATTTGTTTTTGCTGGATTTAATAGTAAAAAAATATTTTTCTTGTCGTTCTTTTATAAATAAGATAGTCTGGTTGAGTTTTATGATTAGATTTTGTTAATAAATATCAGGGCCGTAGCCAAAAATTTGGTAAAGGGTGAGCATCTACAAAAAAGTTCCATCTTTACTACTATACGTTCCAAAATACAAGAGCATCGGTTGCTTTTTGAATAACTTTTGATAGGTAATACATAGAGAAGTGCGGTTTTCAGTTTTAGAAACTAGAGACCTGAGACCATGTTTCTATAAGCGGAAGCGACTTTCGAAAAAAATTTTCAATTTGGTTTTTGGGGAGATCTTTGGAAAACCAGATCAGAACTCCCGAAAGTCTCATAGAAATGTAGTCGTTTTTTTACATGGGTATGTAGCTACAAGTGTCCTCTAAAAAATGGGAGTCAAGCGAGACCTAGATTTTCTACGGCTCTGGCGTTGCATCGGATTTCCTACGAGTCCCAGGACTGGGACATGGTGACTCTTCGTAGCCTTGAAAGCCAATGGACTACAGATAATCGATCATGCTGAGTCTCGTGGCAATATTTGCTTTTAGAAAAAGGTTAAAAGTCTATCGAAAAAGGGAGTTTTACGAAAACTAGGGTTTTCAGACTGTTTTCACCTAATATTAAAAAATTCACTATTCACTCAAAATACATCAGCACGAGTTTAAAACTTCAGGATATAATCAATTCTGTCCGCTAAACGTGATTATGAGATCGAAAAAATCGAAAAATCATATTTTTTGTATCTTGCATTGCATAATCGACGATACATAAGCCAAGCCCTAGATCGACTGTTTTTGATGACAGATGAATATCATCGGTGTAGTGGTCTTGTTTTACGGTATTTTGCATGAATAATATCACGAATAACATGAAAAGTCGTACTGGCACTAATATGACATTTTTCAGCGATTAACGAAATAGTTGGAGGATCTTTTTTATTTATATATGTTATAATACGACAAACAATTGTAGGTGTTGCTACATGACGTCCACGATAAAATTTTGGTTTTTGATTATTTAATAAACTTGACCGACGCTATTTTCCAATCTTGTAGCAATACGACTAATGGTACTTTTCGGTACATTAAGATTCGTTTCTAATAATTCTTGTTATATCACAGAATATGAATATTTTTTCATCAAAAGTACGTATGAACACACTCAGGCTCTTTTGCGTTATTCCCTTTAGTATTAACTTAAGTTTAAAAAGATTTGGACATTTTGTTAGCGAGACATTTTTTGCAACTATGTTCGTCGCTAAACAGAAAATTGCTTTTGAGATACGATCGGGTCAGTGCATAGACATTATTTGGGTCTCTTACTAAAAGATTTTCGAAGAGTTGAAATGCATTTCATTTTTGTTAGTTTGACAAAATTATATAATTCTCAAAAAAAGTTATTTTTTTGATTTTGTGAAAACTTCCTAGGACTGGTCCGTTGTCCGAAGGAAAAGGAAGTTTGAAGTATGAAGTTTATATACGAGGATTTTTGTAGTTTCCAAGGAGTGGGATAGGAGGTAGGTATGTTACGAGACCGAGATACCCGTTTTCTCGTGTCTAGTACCCGGGTATGGTCTCGTAGTCTCGTGTATCGCACCCCGGTATGGTCTCGTGTCTCGTACCCGGGTATAGTCTCGCAGTCTCGTTAGTAGGTATGTAACGAGACACTCAGCCTTAGGTGAATTGATCGTTCCAAATGCAGTACACGATGTTGATCGATCGAACTGGCTTGTGTAATAAAGGAAGTAGCATATAGGAGTGTAATACGTAAATTCTTATTGAAAAGTAATCATAAGTAAAAACACTATTGACAGCTCATAGGAAATTATTTCAGAGAGCGAAAGGTTTTTCGAATGTTAATTGACAAGCAAAATATATTTACCTTCCATTTCCAATCTGATCAGTCACCATGAATTTCAGGATCATCATTGTTAACATATTATAGATTTCAGTACCGAGGAACATCGATTAAAAGATGCAAACATAGTGTGAGTCGCTGAGAACTTCCTTGGTTGCTTAAAGAAAAGTGCACAGAAAAGTACCTGTGTTGTAGCAACAACTATGGTTATTAGTCACAAATGGAAAACATAGGCTAGAAAGCATTGAATTAAAATAAATGATTGTAAATAGTATCAGGTTTTAGACTATTATGCGGCTACTAACGAGACACGAAACTACGACACCATACTCGGGTACGATACACGAGACTACGACACTATACTCGGGTACGAGACACGAGACTACGAGACCATACCCGGGTACGAGACACGAGACTATACCTGGGTACGAGACACGAGACTATACCCCGGTGCGAGACACCAAACTATACCTGAGTACGAGACACGAGACTATACCCGGGTACGAGACACGCGACTACGAGACTATACCCGGGTACGAGACACCAGACTACGAGACTATACCAGGGTACGAGACACGAGACTATACCTGGGTATGAGACAAGAGACTATACCGGGGTACGAGACACCTGACACATAGGCTAGAAAGCATTAAATTAACATGAATGATTATAAACAGTCTCAGGTTTTAGTCTATTATGCGACTACTAACGAGACACAAAACTACCAAACTATACTCGGGTACGAGACACGAGACTACGAGACTATACCCGGGTACGAGCCACGAGACTATACCTGGGTACGAGACACGAGCTTAAATCCGGGTACGCCACATGACACATAGCCTAGAAAGCATTGAATTAAAATAAATGATTGTAAATAGTATCAGGTTTTAGTCTATTATGCGACTACTAACGAGACACGAAACTACGAAACTATATCCGGGCACGAAACACCAGACTACGAGACTATACCCGGGTACGAGACACGAGACTGTACCTAGGTACGAGACACCAGACCACGAGACTATACCCGAGTACGAGACTACGAGACTATACCCGAGTACGCGACACGAGACTATACTTGTGTACGAGACTATGCCCGGGTACGAGACACGAGACTATACCCGGGTACGAGACACGACACTACGAGACTATACCCGGGGACGAGACTACGACACTACACGCGGGTACGAGACACGAGACTGTACCTGGGTACGAGACACGAGACCACGAGACTATACCCGAGTACGAGACTACGAGACTATACTTGTGTACGAGACAAGAGACTATACCTGGGTACGAGACACGACACTACAAGACTATGCCCGGGTACGAGACACGAGACTACGAGACTACACGCGGGTACGAGACACGAGATTATACCCGGCTACGAAACACCAGACTGTACCTGGGTACGAGACACGAGACTACGAGACTACACGCGGGTACGAGACACGAGACTGTACCTGGGTACGAGACACGAGAATATAACAGAGTACGAGACACGAGACTACTACACTAGAAGCGGCAACGATAC